TACCAGTGCGGTATGAAGTTTTCTTTGGGCTAGTTCAGCAGCCAAGACCCAGTGTAAATACAAAATATATAAATGAGAAGCTTTAGGCCATGAGCTTTCGTTAAAATGATGTTTATAGACTATTAAAATGTGCACCAGTACGTATGTTGGAGGATGTGCTTTTGTGGCTTGCTTACACAATTAAGCTTGCAGTCCTATGTACGTATGTATGAGGGGAAGGCCCTCTGAACACACTGGGACTTGCTAAATTTTCATCTCATTCTCCAAGGAGCTCCAGGTGGCAGGCATGATGTTTCCGTACCCCACATTTTATCCTCACAACTGCTCTCTGGCGAAGGTTGAACTGAGGAAGAGCACCTGGTCATCCCACTTAGTGAACATTTCAGCCACATTCTGAGAAGACCTATTCCAAAATTCTAGCCACACCTACTCTCTTCTGTTCTTATTTATGTCAGAATAAACCTGCATTAGAGCATAAAATAAAGCATAACCAGACCGAGAAGGAATTGCTGGGCGTTCCTAGCAAATTCAGCTATATCTTGCTTATTACTATTTTGGCTTATTCATGGGTTACACGTTCACCCATCAGATGTAAGGAGACTGCTAAGGTTTACATGATGGCTGATTCTCCAGATGTTGCTAGAGGTGGTTCACTCCATCTCAGCCCCTGGCTAAACCTTTGAACATGTAAGAAATCACAGGTGGAAGTGAGCTCAGAGGGTTGTTTTTCATCACATTTTTATCCTGTTCTTCCTTCACTGAGTTCAGCCTTCTAATGTTTCCCTCGCAAAAAACCTATAGGCTGCTTTAGGCTAAGAGAGAATGACTTGCCCACGGCTATTGAGTAAGCTCCACGGCTAAGGGGTAGTTCTCTTGTCATGGCAGGAAGGATTTATTTATAAACATAAACATGTGAAGGAATGCCTTTCTCTAAGCAAGCAAGAGACATGCTTGAGGATAGCTTGGACCACTACAATATACTAGCTCTTTTCTTGAGTTGGAAGAGAGTCATCGGAGAGTCATCACTTGCAGCTTTTCTTTCTCTTGACAGTTTGTCTTTTAATAGCTGTCAAGAGAGCATCTGCATGACTGGCGCCCTCCACAGGCAATGCTTCCCAATTTGCATCCCTGACTTTGAACACTTCTGCACTTGCACAGGTCAAACTAAAAACAATCAGACTAATGAAAAAATGCTCTACTTCTTCACATATATTTTTTTCAGCGATGGGGAACTAATGACAGCCCCTTCAATGTGCCACTTGGGTACTCTGGAGGTGCTGTCATTGGCTTCAGAGAGGGGGCCCCATTTCTCTCAAAACACAGCATTCCCAGTTAGAAAGTTCAGACCCAGAATGTAAACTAGATGGAGAAGGAGAAAGATTGGAATGTAGCACAGAAATGTCAAGGTTAATGAGCAAGATTTGTCAGCCAGCTGCTGAGAACCAGTTCATTTATTTATTTCATTTTTATACCACCTAGTAGCTGATAGCCAGTTGGCTCAGGTTTGGGGGAAACACTGTAGAAGGAAGCAAGGTCTGAGGAGAAGGGGTATGCATTAACCCAGTGAATTGGCATCAAGCCAAATAAGTGAACCAATTAAGTAACATCTGGCTTTACCAACACAAACAGTGCAAACTTTCCATAGGGTGGAATGAAGCCTTTTAGGAAAGGAAAGGAAAGGATCCTCAATTTGCAAACATCCTGTATCACAAGGAACTCTGTACTTCAAAAGCTTTCCATTTAGATGTACTAGAGAGGGAAAAGGGCAGAGATGTGCTCTTGACAGCAGCTGTGACCTTGGAGATTGTGAAAGGCAATCTTGTTGGGCAGGAAGCATGGAGAACAAGAAAGGGTCTGTGATCACATAGCAGGGGACATGACCGGTGCCTGTTGCTTTGACGTGCCGCTTGTTCATCACTGGGGCAACTGTCACTGGTAGTAGCCTGGGCAAGCTTGGTAAGAATGGTGGGCAGAGGGGTAACCACTATTTCTGAGCACCTTGTTCCCTGCTTTCTGCAATGTAGCAGAGGGACACTCACCCAGGTTCAGATGAGGCAACCCATTGGGACAAACCCAAGAACAGGCCATGGGGTGTCAGCCCACTGTGCCTGTCACCCACAATGCGTTGTTGGGCTCACTCTTAATGTTTTTTAAAAAGTTGCTCCAAAATCTCCCCCAAAAGCAAAGTAGGGGAAAAAAACCAGGATAGTGATTTATCAGGCACAAAACCCAAAATGGCTTTGCGGTATATAGCTCAATGAAATGGCGATGCAGTGTGCAGCAGCTGTGAAACATGCAAACTCCATGTTAGGTGTAATTAGGAAAGCAATTGAAAACAAAATTGCTAGGATGATACTTCCTGTATACAAATCTGTGGTATGACTATGCTTTGAATACTGAGGACAGTTCTGGTTACCACACCTACAAAAGGATAATGTAAAAGTGGAAAAAGGGCAAAAGGGGCAACCAGAGTGAACAAGGGGCTGGATAACTCCCCTATAAGGAAGGGTTACAACATCTGGGATCCCTTGGCTTAGGGGAAAAAGCCAACTCATAGCAGACATAGTAGAGGTGAATGCAATTGTGCCTGCTGTGGAGAAAATGGCTAAGGAGACATTTTTCTCTCTCCATGATAATGTCGGAACCCAGCATCATCTTGGGAAGCTGATTGGTGGGAGACTCGGGACAGATCAAACAAAATACTTCTTTGCCCAGCATATGGTTACTGTGGTATTCGCTTCCACTGGGTGTATTGACCGCCATGGAGATCGGGTCCGCTCATGGAGGATCAGGCTACCAGTGGCTACTAAACCTAAGGGCTGTATGCTGCCCCCAGTATCAGAGGCAGTCAGTATCCCATGTATGCCAGCTGCTGGGAATATGGGCAGGAGGGTGCTATTGTCTCTGCATCCTGCTTGTGGGCAGCTGGTTGGCCAATGAACGAAGGGAATACTGGACTAGATGGACCCTTGTCCTGATCCAGTGTGGCTCTTACGTTCATAATCAGAAAACAAGGGCAGTCCCATGCAATTAGTTGGAGCACATGGAAAGCAGGCAGGCAGGCAGACATCTGCTTGGAACTATAGCATAAGAGCAAAGCTGGGAAATTTGAAGAATTTCTTCTGGATCTTGCCTGCATTTGGAGAAACAAAACAAAATTTGACTTAGAAATAGTTCATACAATGTAAAAGCAGAGAAAAATGTAAATATGTATATACTAACGTGGAAAATTAAAAATATAGCATCTGGCAAAGTGGAGAAAACACTCTGGGCCATAAAACAGCTTACATAGATCTTCTGCGTGGGAAGAGATTTTGCTATGTGATTTGAGTATCTGGTCCTCCAAATGCTTACACTTGCATGAAAATATTTATCTTATTGGTGTGACATTGCTTTACTTGTTTTTCCCCAGCATTGTGCAAGCATTGCAAAGTAATATTGATAAAATCATGTGTAGCTCATCACTTGAGTATATTTATAGCCTGAAAGAATAATATACATCTTAATAATTCTTTTTGGAATATTGATGTTTTAGCAATGAAAACCCTGGCATGAGAATTCTATTGGTGCTGGAAATTCTTTGAGTATAGAACTAACCATCACACAGGGAAGCCCCTGTAAATACTACTGGGGATCAAACACTGAAATGTATATGAATAATATATTAGTAGATATACAGAACATATAATTAAAATTGAAATAGTGCAGCAAATTTATAAAATATTTAAATGAAATGGCGGAGAACACAGCAGAGATTCACATATGTTGCTTGTCTTCTAGTCAGTCACGATACACTGTAGGCTCATAATAGAGCTCAATTTTACAGGGAAAATATGCTTCTTACACTAAAAACAAACAGCCCCCCACCCTGCATCCTTAAATCTTCTAGCCTGACTTTGGGGGCATAAAAGTTTTGGATAATCAGAAGTTAACATGGCAGTCGGAACCTGAGCCACAGCTAGATCATGTCTAACAGAAGAAGAGAAATGGGAGACATGGACTTTTCCTGCCTGTGATCTACTCCAACCTTCCCAGTGAAGTTTGAAATAAATCTCCTTTACCCTTCAGATCTTTCTTTCTGGGGATGAAGGATTTTCCCTTTATTTTTTAGCACTGGGAACCATCTCTTCCATCTTTGCATGGTGCCTGGTAGATATTTATATTCCAGTTTTGTGAACCAAACTGCTATAGGCTCCTGCCAGTGCTTTCCTGGAGTCCTCAGCACTAAAGGGGGAAACTTGGCAGTGAAGCAGATAAAGAAAGCTTGCTTTCCTTCTGCTGTTGTCCTACAGTTCCAATAAGCTGCTTTTACTCCCACCAGTGCTCTAGAACTGTGCCTGTGAAGCAAGTATGTAAGCATGGTTCTGGATGGTTGCTCTGGGTACAGGCAGCTCAGTTTGGAAGGAGCATTCATGGGGAAACCAGCTGATGATATTCCTTTTTCCATAGTCCTTCTTCCCTCCCATGCAGCACTTTGAGAATGTGGTTTGCACCCAGAAAGGGCTTTGGGTGCTTGTGCCCCCATTGGTTCTATTGTACCCCTTGCAGAACAGCGATTTAGTACCTTTGGATGCAGCCGAAATAAGTGAAAAGGCTCATTCCTGAAACCAGGATCCACTAGTGCAACAAAATTGGTGGGGCGCAATGGGATCAGCAGTGGTATAAAGCACCCCACTGGATACTGCCCTTTGTTGCAAGTGGCTGCTGTGTAAAGTATGGTTTGTTACAGAGTGGTTATTTGAGCAGTATTTAAAACTTGTCATTGTGTTTTTAAGTTAGTATAACATATCCTTTAAGGGTCTTTTCTCTTTGGAATTGTTGTAAATCCTCCTGCTAAAGGAGCTAATTTGGTAATGAAGCCACCACATCTGACTTTTGTTTCTTTTAATTTTTATCCATCATACCCTATGGTATCATTGCTTCTGAGATGCTCTTTTATGTAGTGCCTTTTTAATCACTGTACTTTTTGCCTTCTCTCTCCATCTCTCGGTCAAATAAAGGCCAAGAAACGCCAGGCTTTCCTAACAGAGATGTGTGAAAACAACGTGAGAGAGCTGGAGTTACTCTTGGACAGCTTTCCTGTGTCAGGCCAGTGGACAGCAGGTTAGTTGAAGGTATAAAATGACAGATGCATCTGTCAATGTTCCAAAGTCACTACATTGTGGGAATTCTGCAGATGCCTCCTACATTCCCTTTTCTCAACATGCTTTGATTTGATGACATGATAAGAGCAGTTCTCACAGCAGTCAAGTGGCCTCGCTCGCTGAGATGGGGTGACTGAATGTGGACCTGCTGTTGTCAGACCCGAACTTGATTTACAAGTGTTGGGTTGCGAGTGATAGGTCAGGAAAGGGCTGGCCTGCTGTGCTCTAAATCCAACTGAGAAAAAAAGTCCTTACAGTATGCCTACAAGGGGAACAGATGTTTTTGATTGAACTGAGCCAAATTCAGAGGCAACCTTCAGCTACTTAAAGGTCACATATTCAAAAAAGGTTATGTAGGACACGAAGTGTAACACATTAGTCTTTACAGTGCTACTTTGAAGTCAGCTGAGGGGCAGTCATTACATCTATGCCAGCAGAAATTCTACCCCAACTGATGTACAAAAGAGAGAGAGAGAGAGAGAGAGAGAGAGAGGGAGGGAGGGAGGGAGAGAGATCTCTTCTTTGTCTGTCCTGTGGCATTGAGAATCCAAATACTAAATGGAAGGAAGTGCTAGAAAAACCAGAGTATCTAATATGCTTAAAGGAACATGATTTTGGTTGACTCCTTATCTCTTAATTCTTCTGAGGTTTGTTTTTTATCCCCGTACCTTGGTTGTTTTGCATAGCACCTTCCTCCCCTGTTGCTCCTTGCTGGAGCAAAGAGATCTGAGTAGAAGAAATTCAGATGCAGTCAGAGTACTCCTGGGCACCCTGTAAAGAAGCTTAGAAAAGATGGTTAAATATAATATTGACTTCATGCAACTGTTTACAATTTACAAAAGCAGGCAGCTCCCCGAATTTTTGTATTAGAAGACTACACAAACTATTTCTAAGGCTTGGGGTCTTCCTGCATCCAATATCAATAGAAGGAAAATAGTTTCATCCTTGCTTTTGGTGTGAATCTGACCATCACTTGTGCTCATCTTTCAAGGCCCTGCTCTGCATCCTTCCACAGGACCCTTTTTGTGTCAGTGCTCTGATTGTGGAATTCCCTTCTAAGAATGGTTACAGTGGCTTCCTTGTCTCTAAAGCAGGAGGTTAAGACAAGTGAAAAAGGTTGGGCACCACTAGTGTAGTTGTAAATTGTCTTTGAGGGCCTCCTTAAGATGAAAAGGTAGTATAGTGTTTTGATAAGTAATTAATAGATCAGTTAATAATAGTGTGTGTGTGTGTGTGTGTGTGTGTGTGTGTGTGTGTGTGTGGAGAGAGAGATTGAGAGAGAGAGAGAGAATCAATGTGGGTGGTGGCTAGAGTGTTAGACTGGGGACCGGGGAGTTCCAGATTCTAATCCCCACTTGGCCATGAAGCTCACTGGCTGACTCCGGGCCATTCTCTCACTCTTGGTCTAACCCACCTCACAGAACAGTTGTGAGGATGAAATGCCATGGAGGAGGACGATGTCAGCTGCCTTGGATTCCTTGCCAAAGCAAAAAGGCAGGATATATAATAATAAAATGAGTGCACAGATATGCATCAACTTAATCTAATACTTGTACTAGTAGCTGAAGTCTTGGTTTTGTTAATCCTGCTTACCTAATAGTATATCCACTAGAAAGGAAGAGCAAATGAAGACAATTCTATCATTTAAAAAAATTAACTCCAGCAATATAGTATGAATTCTCAAAACACCACATGACGTATTATCATAACTATCCCTTGACTGCTACCATTCCCCCCCCAATATGCCTGGATTAATCTAAATTTAGGTAGGAAGCCAGAGGAGTTTTTGAGAAATATTATGGAGTGTTTTCTTTGAGATAACCAGAATGAGAATGTGCAGCTGGTTGACCCAGAAGAGAAAGACTGACATCCACTTACTTCTGCACAAAATGGGGTGAATGTGTGTGGTCGCCATAATCTTTATGCATATTTCCCCTTGACCCCTAGCACAGTTCTCTCTTGATCCCAGGGAGAGACCACCATAGTTTGTATTCATCACTTTCCAATTACGCCCCTTTTCTGTGTTAATGCAACGGGGACCTGCTGCAGTTTCCTCTCATGCTGCAACTTTCCTTCTCCATGATTATTAATAATGTGGCCATAAATTTATAGAACAGCTCCCTGGAGGATTTGGTGCGAAAATTCCATCTGCATCTAGGGAGGTGTGAAGACAGAGGGACAAAATGTTTTGTGGTCTGGGAAACTGGAAGACAGATTCTTCTGAAGCTGGCTAGAAGTTCACCTTCTTTTGGCATGCTAGAAGCATGGAATAAGCTTTGTAAAACTGAGCATTCTGAAAGAACTTTGTTAGGATAGAGGTTTTGGCAAAGGAGACTGGCTGCCTGGAGAAAAGAGCCAAGACAATACAAATGAAATCTGAGAATAATTATTGATATGAAAACTTGTGCCTGTGTGTGTGCGTGTGCATGGTATTTTTAGTTTTGGCATTAGTTTGCTTGTCTGTTTGTGGCCCAAGGGGAAGAGATGACAGTTGGAAAGATGCCTTATCACAATGCAGTGGGGTGATTCTTTTCTTCCCTCTTGTTCCCATGGAACCAAGAGTTTTGTATGTGTCAAAGAGACAAGCTGAGTTTAGGACAGAGCATATGTGTCTTGGGGCAGAATAAAATTAGACTTTGTTGAGAAGAGTGACATCCAGCCCTGGTAGCTTAAGTTAATTGAAGAAGGGTGCGGCATGCTTACCGAAAGGTCTTTTTAGAAACAAGAAATCTAATGAGGGATGTGGCTAAATATAACAATACAATGATGACCAACCTTTTTCTGGCAAGGGTCACAATTCAGGCTGACAGTATGTGAAGCGGCCTCGTGTGTTTCACAGGATATAGTCTGCTGTGGTGTGGGTTACTTTCTTATTTATGAACTGGCCATAGGGTAGTGCTTGGGACAGGCAAGAATGCTGGCCCCACTGTATGCATAAACAGGCCCAAGGGTGCAACTGCTGCAGTCAGACCAAAAGGCGCCCACTGCCCCTGAGCAGGCGTTCTGCATCGGAGATGCGTGAGCAATACAGAGGAAGTGAAAACGGCCTTGCGTGGAATACTGCTGTTTCCCAATGTGGTGCAGTCCAGCTGTCATAGACTACAATCCCTAGTGTTCCTGATCATTGGCCATGCTGACTGAGGCTGATAGGCCTAGAATTCAGAGGGTCCACAGATTGGGGAAGGCAGCAATATTTGAATCACAGAGCTGGAGCAGGAATCAAGGGACATTTAACAAATCCCCGCATTTCAACAGAATTTTATGTACCTTACAAGAAGAAGAGCAAAGTGCAAGCCAAGCTAGCTCCTCTTGTGCTGGAGCTTCCAGGGCAGTGGGGACTTGTTCTGGGGGCAGTTTCCTTTCTTCCTCTGACACTCTTTCTGAATCCACATTTTTCAAAGATGAGTCAAAACTGGGGCTCATGACAGTGCTTGAGATAGAGAAGCTTGGAAGGTGTCTGCTTTCTGGATCTTCTCAGGAGAGGTGGCTGCCCCTTCTGGAGGCTTCAGAGGAAAGTGGAGAAGGTGGGAAACCCCTTTTCCACAGAAAGTCCTCTGTTTACACGATGGAAGTTAGAACCCAGCCTTTGTTTAGAAAATTGCTCATGTTAAGGCCTTTTTTGCTTTCAGCCTGTTCATTATTTTTATATGTGGATTTTCATGGCAAAGGGACTGGAAAAAGGTTTTCAGAATATTTCTACTTGATACCCATATCTGATGGGTCACCAGGAATTCCTTGGTGATTATCAAACAGTTGGGGGGAAATAGCTGCTGGGTGGGAAGCAAGAGTGGCATCTGGTTCAGATTGGGAGAACATTCTGGACTAAGGCTGCACAGGGCTGTTTTTCCTTCAAAGTAAGTAGCCAATTGTAATAATTTTTAAAGGAATAATGTAACCTATGGTTTTTATAGGCTCTTGAGTCTTCAGAATGCATGCATGCATTCTGCTTGATAGTTACTCATTTCTGAGGGTTCATTTCATTAGGATCCTTTCTTAAAAAGTGTGAAATTGGTTGCCCACTGCTTCAGACCTAGCAATATGAAATACAGATTTGCAACACAAGTTTCCTCATTCTTCCAGGTTTGTGGAAGCATATACTTAAGCGATTATAGCCATTTTGAATCCTTATCACAAAGTTGTTTTACAGGAACTCACAGTGTTTTTCAGGTTTGGAACTTGACTGCAGAGTTAGTAGTTCAGGGAGCATCCGAACAGGCATGATGTGGCCTGGGCTTATGCCAGAGTTTGTCAATCTTAGCTGCATGAGTTTTCCTTTGAGCATGACAACAGCAGTGGAGCAACTGGCAGTACCTCCTCGTGGCTGTGCTTCCAGTAGTTCCCAATAATTCTCTTTAAAAACAACAGCAGTCCTGTAAACATACTCAGGACGTTTCCATTCATGCTTCTTTTGTTACTGTTGCTGTATGACAAGTTGGTTGTGATAGGTTGATCCTGCCAGACAATAAGGGTTCTACTAAAGCAGCCCTGGGCTTGGATTGCAATTTGGCATGTTGTCACAAACCTTCAGAAAACGGCTTGACTGAAGCCGTGGAACTCATGGTAGACATCCTGTATGACCATTTCAGTTACAAATAGTGGGAATGCTGGGATTTGAGCTGGAGAGAAAAAGAAAGGGCCACTATGGCCAAATGCATTCATGAGTTGAAATGGCTTAAATAAACAATGGACTTGTTCCAGTTTTGTATGCAAGATTTTTTAAAAAATCAAGTACTTTAATTTATACCAAGGAATAACAGGAAGCTTTGTGTACCTTGGCACATGATTGTATGAAATAACGTTTCATTACAAAATTAAGGGTTCATCATGAAGCAACAAAGGCATGAATAGGCCCACTTACAACCAAATGCTTGCTTCATCTGGAGGACGATCTTCTTTAAATGATAGTAAGATTTGCATTCATTAAATTTTAAATAAGGTCATGATGTGCAGCAAAATAAATTGGAGTTAATATTTTTTTGTGCGGTGAACTGCAGCCACAGTGCAAGTCTTTTCTTCAGCTTTATTTGATATTAAAGAACAGATACACCAGTATGCCTTGGAGAAAACACAGTGGTTGCTCAACATTCTGTATTGTCACTGGAGCCGAATAATTTAAATATCTCTGTTGCTGTTGGAGAAGTTTTCTGTCTCTGTTCAACTCTAAGAGCTTTGTTTTGATTCTGTATTTTTCTTCAGGCATTCACAAGGACAAAGATAAACCTCCAAGCTTCACTCTTGTCCTTGAGACTTTGAGACATACCTTGACAGATTACCAGAACAAGCTGGAAGATGCATCTAATGAGGTAACACTTGCACTGTTGGCTCCACACACATAGCCTTCGGCCCCCAATACTAGAGATTCCTTGCTTGCTGCAGAGGTCAAAACACTGGGAATGTTGAGTTGACAGCTTCACAGATGAGAAAAAGAAATAATCTTTTGTCACCATTCCTCCTCTAAGCTTGCCCTATGGTTATGATTCTCTTAAACTCAGGAAACTGTTTAGCTGGACTCTTTTTCCACCCACCCCTTTTGTATTGAACAGCTGTGCTGTCCAATTATTTTTTGAGTGAATAAGCATGTATATCTGTATATTCATCCATTACTTATTTGAAGGTAAATAGGCATGCAATGTTATGCTCTGATACCTCAAAATATGTCTTTAAATCTGTTAGGAATTGATGGCAGTTGAATAAATATGCATGCTTTTTCATTAGGAAAAATGTACTGGAAGTTGAAATTCTGTTACGTTCCCTTCCTAGTCTGAGTGATATTCATTTTTAAGTTCTTCCAGAGAAAGATGTTTGCTGTATGCTTTGATTAATGTTACCCCATAGAAATATTTAAATTTGTCCTTAAGGGTTTTTAAAATAATTTAAAATATCCTATAGTTTAGTTCAATATTTGTTAGGTAATCTACACTTTATTTAAGCAGATGTGTTTGGATGTATGTCAGTTTTGGCGGCAATGCTATTCTCCCTTACTTGGCATTTAGCTCCACTGAAGTCATTGGGCATGTCTAGGAGAAGGGGGTGTAGCTCTGTGGTGCAGCACCTGCTTTGGACCAGAAGTCAGATTCAATCCCTGACTTCTCCTACCTGAAACCCTGCACAGCTGCTGCTGGTCAAGTCAGTTTAATGGATCAAAGGCCTGATTCAAAAAAAGGCTGCTCTCTGTGTTCCTAGACATGTATAGAATTGCAGTATAAGTGTAACTAACCTCACCAGGTGTTAAATGATGCTTTAAATGAAAGCACTCCAGTTTAACATGTGGATTGACATGTGACATGTCCAAGCCACACGCTAAGTTAACTTGTATATTTCTGCTACTTAAAATACTTAAAGAGTATGTTGTTTAGAAGGCTGCCATGAGAAATTGGCTATAATGTGAGAATTTATGAGAGACAAAAGGAAGACAGAATTAAAACATAGTTATTTGGGCTCAAACACCAGCATTAAGAATGGTAAAATGTCTTAAGAAAAAGAAAAAGTTTTAAGAACATTTGACCCACAGTAATATGAAAAACCAGACTTTTTGGAGAGTAGCTTTTTGCAATTGCCTGAAGTTGTTCTCAGGGCATAAAATTAGTCACTATGTGAACAACTGTCCATTGTTGTTTACAGCTACCACTGTTGGGTCTCTTCTGTTGACAGCCCACATGTTTAGTAGCCTTCTGAGGCCTGGGGCAAAGTGACTAAGCACATGATATCCACTGTGAGTTATTATTTGGGAGGGTGAATGTCACCTGATCTTCAGCACAACTGAAAAGTCGACTCAGCAGGCTTTGGCTTTGGAACATGTTTTGTTGTGAAACGATGCCAGAGACAGCAGTGGGGAGACCAAGGGGGTGGCTGTTAAGAAAGCATAAAGAGTATTCTGTCAGCAAGAAGAATGAACTGTCAAGGAAAATAAACCGCAAGCAGTGCAGGACCAACTGATGACCTGCCACAAGACTTCCCAGTAGGACTGCTTGTGCCTGACCCTGAAGTTGTCATACGGAGCCAGAGACTACTGCCTACCCTCATGATATGCAGATAGGGTAGCTCTGTGCGCTTGGTTCTTTTCCTTGCTGATAGGAAGTTTTCTCTGGTTCTTTTTTTCCTTCGTTGTAATTAGTAACTAACCTTTAAAAAAGTGAAACAGTATATTTGTATTTAAAAAATGCCCCCTCATTGTTAAAGTTTCTTGAGCTTGTAAAGCTGTACTTAGGTGCCTCAGACTACACACAGATCAAACTAGGTTCTTATTAACACATTTTTATATGTGCATATGTATGACTGTTTAGCTTGCTTTTACACATTATAAAGTAGAAGTCCTATACACACTTACTGTGAATTAGCCCTGCTGACCTCAACAGGACTTATTTGGAGTGGATTGCAGTGTTCCAGTGCAAATACTTTTCCGTGCTAACACACAGCACATTCACATAAAGTGGTTCAAGCTGACGCTGCTTAGAGGAAACACAGCAAAGAGTGATATTCTGATGGGATAAAAGCAAGCAACATGATAAATGTGAAAAAATAAAAACAAGTATCACAGTTACAAATAATATGGAGATAGCCATGTGTTTTTAGTGGGGCTCACTTCCAGGAAAGTCAGTGTGTATAGGATGTCCACTTTAGTCCGCCAGCAGTTCTATTGTGATTGCTTTGCTCTTGAACCTGATACATAGTTTATTGTATTCTTTGCTAGTTAAAAAAGATGACAATGCTCTCTGAGAAGATGGTAAAAGAGCTTGATTCTTCCCAACACCAACTAAGATCTAGGTTTCAAGAACTTCAGGTAATGAGCCTGAATATTGTATCTGAATGCTTATGTGTCCACTGTTTCATCTTGATGATGGCTCTAATCCTGTTTAGGTATTTCATTACATTTCATAAGATTACTCAGGAATAAAAGGTTTTAGGGTGATAACCCACAGCTGTTTGAGGGTGTGTCTTCTACTGGGTAGAATGCCAGTAAGAGCCACCATGAGTCACTCGGTCATGACATTGACTAGGTGACCTTGGGCTATTCACTAACTTATTTGTGCAAGCCGTCCTGTGGCTCTTGCAAAGGACTGCATACAAATATCCTAAATAAATAAACAAACAAACTTTCAGCCTAACCTATTTTAGATGGTTGTTGTAGGATAAAATTGTGTGTGCGCACACATGCACGCTTGGAGAATAATGTTTGTTGCTTTGAGCTCTTTGGGAAAAATAGGATATAAGTTACAGAATAAACATTTCTAGTTTTAAGGAGGGGAAAGGGAAGAGAGAGAATTGTGGGGATCAGGTTGCATCCTGTAGAAGAACCAATGTATGTACTCCTCATCTTCCCAGTGAGCCTTAATAAATTAGTTATCTATCTGTTCCTGAAAAGGTGGTCTTAGAAATTTTCCTCTAGTTCAGGCATTTTGGCTTACATCCAAGTGAAAATGCACTTCTACCTGTATCGCTATATCCTCTCCCCCTGCACCCATTTCCCTGATTCTGTTCCTGTTGCATTTTCCTGTACTGCTTCCTAAAAGGCTTCACGCTTCTCAGGACCGCAGATGAGGAGAGGGCACAGGAAAACCTCATTGTAGGAGAAAATGGGTTGTTACTATTTCACTTAAATGGCTACAGTATATTCTGTTAATGCCCAACTGGGCTTTCAGAACTTCCTATCAATTTGATTTCCCTGAACTGTGCAATTATAATTGTGGAAGTAGTGGTTGTAGAGAGTGACTGTTCAGCTCTATTCATTTTTATTTAATTATTTTATATACTTATTAATAATAATGTTTGGTAACCTTGGGTACTCTGCCCCCTGCCCTGAAATTTTGGGTTTTTAGTGGAAAAATCTGCCAGTTTTGCAGATTTTAGAAGAGGTCATTTCAGAAATGATTTATAGAAGTGATTCAGTTTTGGTTATGAGATGGTGGGGGAAAATAATGGTTTTAATAGGTACAGCTCTGTTGCTGCTACCTGTGGTCAACTCAGCGATTTGTTGTGGTTGTAGTTTATCATTGGAATAAATTGTTTTGTTTATGGAATATTTAAGAATGTATATTTGAATGCAGAGCTTTATATCCAAGGCTAACAAACAAGTACAGAAGTTGATTATGCTTTATTGCATGAAGCTGTTATCTTCATTTTGTTTTGTTGCTAGGAAGCACAAAATAATCTTGGTAATGCCAACAAAGAGTTAAATCATCTACAAGCTAAGTGCGCAGATAGAGAATCTGTAATAGCTACTTTAAAAATGGAACTACAGAATGTACTGCACTGCTGGGAGAACGAGAAAGTACGTTCTACAGAATCTGAAAATGAAATCCAGAAGCTTACGCAGGCTTACGAGAAGGATACAGAGGTATTACCAGAAACAAGATGACTGTCAAAAAGAATATTTAATCTTAGCTTTTTACATTTGCATACATCTGATGGTTAGTTTTGTAGTCCTAGAAGTATCACCCCACAATAAGAAATTAAGAGGGCTGCTTTACAACATCTATATAGTTCTACTTCTAGCATTAAGTGTTTTTAAAATACCATTCTTTCCATTAATTAAAAAAAAAAAAGAAAGCTTTAACCGGTGAACCCACTTGGCTGTTTACATTTTTTAAATATTACAGTACTCCTGAGAAGACAGAAGGGACATGAGTGTATTTAAAGAAAATACGTCTAGGGATTTTTCTAACTGCTGTTTAGCTGAATGTACATATACACATTTGGAATATAGCTGCATTTGGAACAGGTTAGCTTTCTAATCCCTTGGCACTAATTCCTATTAACTGTTTCAAATGATGACCCAGAGTGCAACAGACATGTAGGGTCCAGGTCATTTTACCCGCCCGCCAACAAAGTAGAATTAGTTTCCTGTTCTCGGGGTAGTAGCTGATTATGTTATGTTGTGAACAATAATTGTTTCATGAAGTGTTATTTTGAAACATGCTTTCCACTATGATGTTTATCCTATTTTAAAAATACCTAATTTGCCTGCATTTGGCTTTTTTCTGCTCACAAGGTTTTTGAGAACTAGGTACATCATGGGTATTATTCTTTATCTAAATTGTGCCGCATATTGAGCTCATTACTCTAACAAATATGAGCAAGAATGCCAAGTGAGTAAAAAGGAAACATTCTTTCCACCCTTCTTACAGTCTGGGATTTAAATTGTGTCCATATGAATCAGTTGGAATTGTTCTGCTCATCAGATAGTGATTAAAGTAGAGGAAACTAGAAGCCTGACTATATTGTAAAGTCAGCATGTCTACAGTATTGTGGTTGGGTTCAACATGTGTGAATTGATTCTGGGTCCTTGGATTCCTTTTCCAGGCCAAATGGATGATTACCATGCTTGGTTTATCACAGCCCAAGCAAAAAGGACACAATGGCGACAGATTAAATTAACGAGGAGAAGCGAAAGATTGGGTGGAAATGCTTTTGTTAATATTTCACTGTGTTGTTGGTGGTTTCCCATGAGAGGTTTAAACATCAAAATATGGTTGGAAAAATCACAATAGTAATTCCATTCTTAATGCCTTTATAAAGTCTGTTTGGAAATGTCTTGAGTTGGACTGCATTTAAAGCATACTGAAAGCAGTGGAAATCTTTTCACTGAACCTAGTGGGGTTTGGATCAGGACTCTAGTTTTTGGTTTGGGCTTGGTAGAAATGTTCTGAAGCCCATTGTAGCAAACAAAATGATGCAGGATAGGATACTTCTCTCCACTAAATTGGTGAAAATCCAGCAGAATTATGGAGACTCAAAATTCTACTCTATAGCTAATGGAAGGATTGTTTAATTTTCAATAAGATATTTGTGCTACATCCTATAAGCTGGATACATCTAATATAAAAAAAATCAATACCATAACAGTGGTATTCTAAATGTGCCTGTAATTAATTGGGCAAGGCATAAAATACTTTGGGTGGGGTCCTATGACTAAACATGCACAGGACTGCACCCTTAATAGGTGTATAACATAGGGCCAAGTAGGCGCTGTCTGCTTCACTTTCACAACATCCATGTTTCTGCATGTCCTGCTGTCACAAGGCTCTTTATAGCCCTGCTCCTCCTCAAGATCATTCATAACTTGTGGTGTGGGAAAATAAGGAACACCATAACACAAGTAAATTCTGTTAGTTGTTGCAGAGGGGGAGTGGTGGACCTATAAACACATTTGTTTTATTCATTTGGTATATTGTTTAGTTTTTCCCTCAAAGAAAACATTAGCCTGGTCTTTCACTTCTTCACTTGACAATTGCAGTCAGCACTCCATTCCAGCAGACAAAAATGTATAGGTAGAGTTTTGCATAACAATGTCAGGTCTGATCCTTCCTATCTTTAATAAACCACATTCCAGCCATTAGCAAAGAGGTAAACACACTCCCCAGCTTATATAAAAGTGTCTGCAGGATCAACCATTGTGTATGTATAATGGGCAATTATCTATGGTCTAATTTTCACTAATGATTCGAACATAGGTCATATATCCCTTTGGAGAACACACAAACAAATTATTGTTTATGTGGCACATTTCAATAGACTTTAACAATATTTACAGTTAACTCTTTTCCCCCTCTTTCTGTCTTTCTTTCCTTCTTTCAACTCCAATCTCGCAGGAGAAGCTAACCTTCCTCCATACTTTATATCAGCACTTGGTAGCAGGCTGTGTTCTCATAAAACAACCTGAAGGCATGCTGGATAAATTCTCCTGGCCAGAGCTTTGCACCGTCTTGCAGGAGAATGTTGATGCCCTGATCTTAGACCTCAGCAAGGCTAATGAGAAGGTACAGTCCTCAGGCACCAGCCGCCTCTATTAAATTCAGTGACATTTGTCCACATCACAGTATCGTTAAAAAGGACTGACATTCATCTTATTTCAAAAAGAATTTGGATGTTAATAATTCAATACCGTTAATTACGGCTTGTCTACAGCTCGGTTTGATGCCATTGCTGTGGGCATGTAAATGTGACTGAAGTCTGTATGAAGTCTCTAAGCTCCGGCTTCTGTGCAGGACTTGCTAATACTACTAGCCAGTGTTAGCCACAGGGACCTAATTAAAAGAAAATAAATTAATCTTACTGATGAAGCTATTCAAAGAACTTAGTCATTTACACTAATAAACCAACTCTTTATCTCGGCATAAAACAGAAACAAAATGCACTTACTCAAGGAACATCATCTTTAAAATATTTGCTTGTGAAGAGGAGGACTCATTTGGAAGGGGAGAGAAAAGGGTTCCCAAGAAATGGTAGTTCCCTTTGATACATTTCCATTGGTAAATAAGAGTGCAGAACATAGCTGGAAACATATTGTGAGTTTTTAAAAGGTAAATATTTTCTTTTAAAAAGGCCCAGTAGTCAGGTCCTTGAATATGTTGTAAAGTTGTGAATTTTTTAAAAAACCATCCCATATTATTTTAGAAAGGATTTTTTTACAGTAAAACAACCAGTTTGAGGTGGGGGCTGAATTTTTCCTCACTGGGGCTTGCCACAGGCTAGTTGATGTCATTAGGCATGGCCATGCTTGTTGATTTCATGGTCCTTCCGATTTTCCTTTGTCTGTACTGAGAGAAGCACAGAGTTCTGGTTCACTTTTAGCACAGGCAAAAAACACTGGCCGAGCTTCTGGCTGTGTGCTAAACACTTCATCTTTGTGGGAGTTGCATGTGCTTTGGAAAACTGGGGACTTCTCCAGTTTTGAGAAAGGTGGCCATTCTTCTCAGCAAAAGTTGAGTCCTAGTTTCACCTGAACTGTGCCTTGATCTGTTGGAGATAAGTGGCACACTAAGTAAAAGAAATTTCCTCCTGTGATTGGAGATATCAGTGGGATTTCTCTCCTTGCAAGCCATGGGTAGTCTCCAGATCCAGGAGCAGGGCTTGGGGAGGAGGTAGGGCCCATGGAGGTTTTTCAAACCTTTGTGGGCTGGATGGAGAACTTTGTCAGGCCAGAATACATCTCTGGACTACTGCTAAAAAAATAGTTCCAAGTCATAATACTTCTGTAGATCTTCATCCTGGCTCATTGATTGACTAAACATTATGCTCTTTGATCTAATAGAAAAAAATCAGAATTTGGTCCTGTTAAATATGGTCCTTATGGACAGGAAATGGAAAATGTTTCACAACTGCCAGAGCTATTCATCATCTCATTTTCAGGAGCAGGAGTATGTACCAGTTCAAGTTTAACTCTGGCCCTAGGAACCAGAAAAAAAAACTTTAATGGAGTTTGTTTTGATTTTTTTGTAAATATGTGATTAATGGAAGTTGGTGGTAGGAAAGGCAAGTTGGAACTTGACAAATGCCTTTACCTAAGGGAAGAATAGTGATATGAACTACTGGATATATGCCTCAATAAGTTAGGTGGTTGAGAACGGTCATAACCAGGGCTGTTACTGCTGGCTTTTCAGTCCTGTAGGATTTTTTGATGTAGATTAACATTTTTAACAGGATAAATAAAATTAGAAACAGAAGGGCAAAAGGAAATCAAGAGATGATATTAAACCAAGCAGTACAATGCAAGTCATAAAAGGCCCATCTAAAATGAAAGGCCTTACGCATGCTAAAGGAGCAAACTTCTGGATATTTTGCACTGTGCCAGAAAGCTGTTTCTAAAGTTTAGGAGTCACCACCTAAAAGGCTGCTGATTTCTGTATTGCAACCACATGTAAGTAGTTTTCCGGGTGCCACCATTAAGCATAGGTCAAAAGCAGTTATCTGCACCATTTGTAAGGCAGAGCTGCTTCAGTTTCCCATCCAGGTTGCACATGGAAATCTAAATGCCCCAATCTCTTGCCTGTGAAATTCCCTGTATTTTGTTTTACCACAAATCTAAACTAAATTAATTATCTACTTTTTAAAAATAAAGAGATATTAGAGATGAAACACTATCCAGGCAGCATTATCAACTCTAGGTACACAAATTTACTTTGCTATAATAGATTTTGTTTAATTTGTGTATTGGTGGTATAAATCCAGACTTTGGTCTTACCTGGATTTTTCAGCGTAAAAATACTGTACACATGTTGCTTTGAGTATATTTTCTTAATGTAAGCACAACACCTTTTAAATTCAGGAGTTGACTAGCTAAACCATATAAACTACTTCCTTAATCTATGTGTATGTTTGTACAAATAAAGCATTGTGCTGTAAAGCTTTCCTAAACTGTGCATACACTTGCCAAATCCGAATCAGCTGTGCAAGTATGTAATGGTTTGTTGTCACCTGTGCTTTAATGTGAATGTTTTAATGGGGCAATTGATGGAACCACCAACCATTTCACTAGCCTGTCACTTTACAGGACAGCCTCCTGTCTCAGTGTATGAGACCTTGTAGGGTTGTACTGGCTAAGAGTGAGACCTGGGCAGCCCCAGGTTCAGTTCCTGCTTCAGCCACAAACTGCGAGTCGCCCTGACCCAGCCTTGACACTGTTTCTGCAACATGGGGATCATCTTGCGGCTGATTTTCTCCTTGGAAAGATTTTACACTAATGTATATGAAGCACTGTGAGCATTTGAAGTTGTCCTACCAAGTGGAATAGCTGAAGTGGTGAACCACTGGTGTTTGGAAGCAGGGCATTGTTTATTTGCATTCAACCAGTTTTTTAAAACATATACTAATGAAAAGTCCACTGTGCTGTGAGCCCTTCAGAGTTCTTGAATCAAATTGTAGCCTGCAGGTTCTGTGCAGGTTCACAGAGAAGTATATTCAGAGAGGATTGGCCCTAGATCCACGGGCATTGGAGTGTAGCTGCGTGTCTTATTTCACTGACTAGACATAGTTCCACCTGTATTAGGGGGGCACTCTATTTTATGTAGTGTCTGCCACAAGACAAGGATCTAGTTGATATGTTACTTGGTGTGCTGAAACAATTAAGGTGACGACTGACCACAGGGGTCATCTTTGAGACTGGATATTGGGAGAACTCAGCTGCTGAGTTTATTTTTAGATGGGCACAGCAGCAAAAAGGAGAGATAGCATCCAGCCTCAGCTGTCTCCTGGCCTACTGTTTCTTCTACTGGTTTGAGTCTTTGTCCCAAAGCTTTCAAAAATTAGAAGGGGTGGTGAAGCCTAGATGCTAGCTTATCTGAGTACTTATTCATCAGTGTCATATGCTTCAGAAATCTGGAAAGTTGAGTTTCCATTATAAATATGCTTGATTTCCCTCTGGGTTGTGAGATTAGGAACAGATAACATGTTTCCAAGTGCCTTGTTTTAAATTAGGACTGGGAATATCTGTAAAAAGGAGTTAAATAAGAATTTTCTTAATACTAATCATGCAGATTTCTCACCTTGAATATGTTTGTAAGAACAAGTCGGATACGATGAGGGAGATACAGCAGACCCAAGAAGACACTTTTAACAAAGTAGCTGAACAGATGAAAGCACAGGAAAGCTGTTGGCTGAAGCAGAAAAAGGAATTGGAACAGCAATATTCTGGACTCCTTGGGGAAGTTCACGCAAGGGCACAGGTACAATATTTCTGCCAGGAAACTATAAACTTCTAAATGTATTCTTTAAATATTTAGTATATTATTTCAGTGGTTTGGGTTCCAAACCAATTTGAAATTGCTTGGGAATTTCAGTACGCTTAGAGAAATGATTTTTTTTACTATTAACTTCTACTTTCTTTAGGAAGTGTATGAATTTGTGTGAAGGCATTCCAGAACTTATACTGCTTAATTGGATCCTGCAGTTGCATTTCCCATTTAGTTCCCATGCAAAAGTTACCTATGGAGTGAAAACATTGGCTTCTTTGTATTATTACACTGAGTACCAGATGCTTTTCCCTCATGATGACTACTTTTCCTATGGCTTTGTAGAATTAAAGTTATTGAAATTCACTTTATACTGAACTGTGTTTGAGGCATAGGTTCATAGGGAAGTTAGCAGTAATCGTAAAAGGTTACTTAAAGCATAGAAATAATCTCCACTCTTGAGAGTGAGGCGCCAAGAGAAATTAGTCTGACATATGCTATTTATCTTAGCTAAAGGTGATGGCACTTCACGGAGGCAACTATTTGGTCCACCATGTTCTCTGATTTTATGGGAGTGGAAAGGCTGTTCATTGTGGCTTTACTTGTCCTTTGCCCTAAGTTATGAAGTAGTAGCCCTCATGATTTCTTGTACTGAAGTTGGAGACATGGGTCCCTGTAAATTCACAGTATAGCTAGCATGTATTTTATGTTTGATTTGAAAAGGATGATTGAAGAAACTTCATGTGCAAACTCGTATGACACAGCCCAGATAAAAGGACATTTGTGCACCTCTGCCCCCTAATATCAACATGGGTGATCTTTTCCTTTTAGTTGGGCTTTTTGTGTTATGCTTTGCATGCAGAAATGGCTAGACCAGTGGATATGAAAGCAGTGACTTTCAGGTGTTGGTAAATGCTTTGGGTTCTGATGTCAACACCAGCTGCTATTTCAGTCAAGGTCTGCAACATTTAGTTGTAAGCCAGAGGTACAGGCTGCTCTTACTGTATTCTCTACTGCTCTCATGTGAAACAGCTGCATTCCCATGTTAAAGATTCCCTGCTGCACCTCTGATGAGAAACTACACCGATTTATATCTCCTTTCTGAGCTGTAACAGAGTGTGCTGGCACTGCTACTTTCCGTTCCAGCTTCACTATTCCCCAGCTCATTAGACTCTTGAGAATAGGATCATATTAGTTTAGGAGGAGTTTCAACAGACCTCGATAAGGTTTGCCCATTTACATTATTGTATTCTGTTGTGCTACTTAGAATAGATGCATTTGAATGAATGGGACTTAATCAAGGCTATCACCGAATATGGCCTATTGGTATGCATTCTGTTTTAAGCAACAGCTATGAAATACCATGAGTGGGAAACACTCAAAGCCAAATAAAAAATTCAGATAAAGTATGTGGCAATGACCAGCTTGGGTCATACCATTTCAGAACAGAGGTAAGAGGACTGCATATTTTAATGTCCCCATATATCAGATACTGCCATCATATGCTTGAAGTACTCTTTCATTTTCCTTGCCTTGGTTCTGAATTGTTGGTTGAACATTTGAAACTTCTCTGTTTGCACCATAAGCAAAAGGGTTTTTAAATTCTTTTTTTAAAAGAAAGGGATGTGGAAACATAAAGAAAAGTAAACTGACCTTACTGTAGAAAGTACAGATTTAGTATAATTTCTGACAGATTTAGCTGTCAGAAAGATTAATTAAAAAACTAATGAACTGTCACCTCCCTGTTCTTATCTAATCCATTTATCCCCTCTGTGTCGCATTATCCATCCTACCTTCTGTAGCACCCGTTTTGCCTTTGAGTTGTATTTTGTGTTGGGAACCTGACTTTTCTTAACAGTGTCTATTCTCCTTTATTTCCCCTACCATTCCTCTTAGTCAAGCACTAATGAGCATGGACACTCACACTATATAAACTTTGAGGCCTCGTGTGTTCCTTACCCCCACCCCCATGAAATGCCTAAAAGTGATTCATTAGATGTCCTATACTCGTACAAGAGTCTATTTTCTCATCTAATGACGTAAGTTCTTTGAAATCAAGCACACTTTCAGATTTCAGATAGCAATTCGAAGAAATATCAGCATCTTTAAAATGTAAATGGTAGCCATTAAGAGAATAATTAGAGAAATGTGACCCTCTACTTCAAATCTTTGTTTCTCTGTGGACTCCTTCAGTGGCCTTCCTTTAGCTCTCAGGAGTGACATATTTGCTTACTAATGATACTTATATTCCACTTTTTCCCCCGCCAAGAACCCAGCTTACATAATCCTCCTTTCCATTTTGTCCTCACAACAGCCTTGTGAGTTCCCTGTGAGGTATGTGAGGAGGAGAAAGAGTGATTAGAAGCTGCATCTCTTGAGTCCCTTGTCCAGCACTCTAACGACTATGCAACACATTCTTGCTACTTCACAGGGTTGTTGTAAGGGTTTCTGAGAGAATGTATGTGAAGTGTGTGAGCCACTCATGAAGTCCCTTATGAATGGGAAGTATTTCTGTAATACATATGTCAAGTCTTTGATGATCCAATCGAAGTATGGGCACAGCAGCAACCATTTACCCAAATACAAACAATATGTGATAATTAATAGTTATGTTGGGAAAGGTGGAGAGAACAATGGCTACCAAAGAGGCAGGGAAGTCCTCCAGGGCAAGGAATGTTGCCCCTTTTGAAGAATTGACTTGATTTATTAAGGAGCAGCACTGTTATCAGAAGAACAGGTGAATTAGTTGAAGACTATGGTGTGTTCAGTGTTATCAAAGTGAGGGTTGTAAGAGAGAAAAATAAAATAGTTGAAATAAAGTGAAGTCTTTTGAAGTCTAAGTGTCATTAAGTCTCCAGTTTGCAGTCTTGTCTTCTTGCCAACATAAAGGATAAAGACCCAGCAAGATATAGGATAAAATAGAGTTGTACTCTCCAGGGGAGTGACTAATTTTTTTAAAGGGTTCTTGAAGTCCACCGAGTGCTGTAACCCAGTACGCCACCTCTCAAAGCTTCTCCGCTCCAGGAAGTCAGGCTGCCAGTCTTTTAAGGCGAGAATCTTGCTGTTCCTTTCAAGAAATTGTACTTTTAAGGTTCTAAAGAAATATTAGAAACTACATTGGTTTGGAGCAGAAAACAATTATAAAACTGCTGAACAGAAGAAACGCAATCTGCCCTTCTGTGCTTATGTTGCGGTGAAGGATGATTGTCATAGCTTAAAAAAAAAAAAAAAAAAGGATACTGGGTCTTGTTCCTGTTCCCTTGCTTTAAGTAACAGATACCAGATGATCTTTTATGATTGACCTGTAGGAGTCTGTATTTGCTTTCTTTAAATTGTGGCCTTTTCACATCTAAGAGCTAAGAACTACAAGTTTGTATGTGTGTGTATTTTGTCAAATCAGTTCTTATGTCTCCTTCCACAAATGCTAATAAACAAGCTTTGTCCAGTAGGAAACACTTGCTAATAGTGCCCCAATTTCTAAATGTCTGTACAGATGTTGTGAAAGTCCTTAATTTTGATTTAGAATTGTGGGACAAGGCATTATGTCAAACACATTTACAGGATTATAATTATTAATTGACATAATTGGACCTTGCCTTTTTGTCTAATGGGATATAGAAATATTCATTCCATGATTCATATATTATTCATGTAGGTGAACATATTAGAACTGCTGGTGGTCATATATTCCTTTTCCATGACTAGTACACCTTTTAAACTCTTACTTTATTATATAGGTATTCCTGGTCATGTTACACACACTTCTACAAGTCCGTTTGTTTCATGATAGAGCCTTTCAGTTTTCCTTCTTTCTTTGACTTTTACAAACTACAGTTCATTTTTTCTTACAAAAACAACAACAGTGCACAAGCAAATGTCCTTGAATGGAACTTGTGCTGGCCCACTTCTAAGAATTGCGGTCAAAACACACAAGACTCTGAAGATTATGTCTTTTGTTACTTTATTTTGTATGCTTTTTCCTGGCGTTGTTTAATAGTAGTTGTGATTGGTCAAGAATTAAAAATCGCTTTCAGAAAAAGGAGCTTAAATTTCATAAGTTTGGATGGAGGCAAACCAGAGGATTTCTAGAATATGTCTGTGGGCAGTTGAATTTTTCAGGGGATGTTTGTTAAGTTGCATAGAAGTGGCTGACAAAGAACATATGATGTGTAAACACATTAATCAGGGGTGCAAAACTTCAGGCTTGGAGTCCCAAGCCATTTTTTTTAGGGTGCTAATCTGGGGCCCTCAGATGGTCATACCATTACCCAAGCCCTGCCTCCTTCCCCAGTCATAGATTTTTTGGCGGTTTCTCAGCCCTTCACAGCTCCCAATTTTTCCTCCCTTGTAAAAGGTTGAAATGCCTCTCCTACCACTGATTACTAGCAGTAATAGCTTCAAGCTAGAGAAGACTGGTAGTTTGGTTCTGCTCCATTTTATATTCTTCCCCACCCATCTCTGGAATGCAGCTTCCACAAGCTTCTCCAAATTTGAATTCAGCACTTGGACAAAAGGAGGAACTGCTCCCCAACTTCAGTTGAAGTCCCTTGTTCAAAAGTCTTTTTTTTATGTGTAGGTTATGCTTTTCTTTAACATTCCAAATTGGTTTGTGTGTTGAATTATGCCTGTCATTACATTCCAACCAGTACCAAATAAATACGTTGGATTATGCTCATAAGATGGGGCTCATTTGTTTTCAGGACTTTATTATTGTAAAGACTTCTTTCTCATTGCAGTCTTCCACTTTGACGTGCTCTTACTTTAAGTAATATCAGCAACACAGATAGTGTACAATTCTCTTTACAGTTGGAGTCCATCTTCAGAGTCAAAAGAATTGTCCATGGTAAAGAAATACATTTTAGGGGTTCAGCTTCAAGGAACAAGAAGAATCATCTTCACCCCTCGCAGATGGAGGGAAAAGGTTACTGCCAACACAGTAACCTTTCTGTGGAAAAGCCACACACAGACAGATTCTGGTGAAGTTCTCAGGCAAATATATTTAGCAAAAGAGGAAGGCTGCTTTGTGTTAGCCTCTTCTTCTAAGTAAGCTGTCGGTGTGACAGAATAGTTCAAATTTGTTTCAGTCACACAGTTCTGTGCAGTACAATCTTGCCATGATCTCTTAGCCCAAGATACTGCTCAAGAAGGTTGTGATGGTAAAATGAGAGAGCTTTGTGTATACTGTCCTGATCTCTCTGAGCCCATCTGATAGGAGGAAAAAGAGGGGAGTGACTGGGTGGACCCTTACGTTCTGTAGTTGTCATTTGCTCAGCTGCCTGTTGTGAACGGGCATAAGAATGTAACTGCCTTCTGGCTGAGGAGACTGGAGACTTGCTCTGTTCTGATATGTGTGATGCCTCTCTGATAGATGCGATCCTGAGAACCAACTTAGAGGCTGTATTTTGGGGTCAGTGCATATTAATTCTGGGCATCCAGTGGTTACTTTGTATTTGTTGATATGGTGGGTCCAAGCTTGTGGCAGGCACAAGCAGCTACTGTGTTCTGGGCCTGCACAAACCACATTTGGATGGTTTGTACCAATACAAACCAATTGATAGTGTACCAATAGCCGAGTTTTCTGCTTGGCTGCTGATTTCAGGAAAATAATATGGTATTCATATGCCATGAGCTGCTGTGAAACTGTTATGGAATGCACTCCCTGGAGAGGTGCGCCTGGTGCCGAGTTTATTTTCTTCTCGGTGCCAGGTTGAAACCTTTTTGTTTAATTCCTATTTTAAAAACTAATATTTTATCGTTAACAGTCGCTTTTTGTTTTTGCTTTTATATAATATTTTATGGAATTTATTATTTTATTGTTTTAAATTGTATGTGTTGAGAGTCGAGATGCTGAGGCATGTGGTGACGGCATATAAAAGTTTTAAATAAATAAATACTTTAAAAACAAGTGGCTTTACTTGGTTGTCATCTGTATGATGTAAGCCACATTGAGTTTAAGAAAAAAGTGGGATATAAATCAAATAAATAAATCTGTACCAGCCCCTGAGGAATTTTAGAACAGTTCCAGTTTTTTACACAACAAGACGTTATGACTCCCAGCATCCTTGACCACATTCTTTGGCCACACTGACTAGGGTTGCTGGGAATGGTGACTGAAAACATCTAGAGGACACCAGGTTGAGGAAGGTTGAGCTACAGGATTACTATCCTGCATCTTTCTGGGCAGCATTTCATGATGTGTCTAGGTAACCTCAAAGAGGTTCTCCTCAACAAGAAACCACCACCATGATTCTCATAGGGACAAGAAGGGCAAAGGCCACTGAGCAGCCTGGTTATCAGCCAGTTCAGATGTATTTTTGTGACATTTTTGGGGGCAATACAGATTGTCAATGAGACTTCCTCTGCTCTGGACCATTCATACCTATATTCAAATTCTGAACAGCCAACATAGGTGTACCATCATTGTTGCAGTTTTGAAGGAAGGCATCCACTTTATGTTTCTTTAAAGCTGTATCTATTAAAAGTGCCTTCTATACTGCTGTGACTCACAATGCATAATGAGTCATTTGATAACATACTTTACTGCTTTAAATTTTTGTCCATTCATTTTACAGCTTGTCGGAGTAGCAGGTTTTCATACATGTAAAAGGTAAAGCAAGAAATGATTGATCAAATAAAACAAAGAGTGTTCTCTTGGAAATACTACTCTGCCTGAACCATAATTAATCTGTGAATATATAAGTAGGGGGTCGATTACAAAGTAATTAAAAGATCACCTTTACTTTCCCTTTCCCAGCTGCTGCCTATCTATTTCTGTCTCTCCTGGTTTCCTGTTCTCTTTTCCTAAACTAACTTAACCCAGCCATGTGGTGTTGACTTTGAAAAGCAGAACAATTATTATTTCTTAATCACAGAGCTAGAGCTTGACTATAGATAATATGATTTAGTATTACTGCATTATTGATCTTTATTAGCTTTACATTTATCTTTACATTAAGTAGGAGGCTGCCTTGTGCCAAGCCAGATAGATCCCTGGTCCATCTAGCACAGTATTGTCTGTATTTATTGGCAATGTCTTTCCAAGGAGTCCTTTCCATCCCTATATGGAAATACCAGAGATTAAATTTTGGACTGTTTGCATGCAAAACACATCTCTGTCCCTGACAATGCACTTCCTCTTATATTCTGAAGGTTCTCAACCACATTTAGAAGCCTCCCTAATAGGCCAACTGTGTGAGACCTTTGCAGTGAGCTGGGTCACATATCACAACCGCAAATTGTAATTTAGGTCAGTCACTAGTGGATGTACTTTACTGCTTTAAGTTTTTATAGGCGGTTTTTCTGTTTAAATTTGCTTAGGATTGCACCTTAAGGGCTGCAAAAATGCACTTTCCCTGGCTTCTTGGTGGACTTTTGATTTTAATATGCTTTTTCAGAGGTTGACTTTATTGGGTTGGATACAGAATCATGCCATGGCCTAGAGAATTTCTATCAGGCCTTTATCATATGCCTCTAAAAATAGGTTGTGGTATCCATAGGTAAAGCTAAACATTTTGTCATTTTTAGTGGTTGGAAATAGGTTGGTAACTCACTCTTGTAATCAGAATCACTTTTCTCTGCCCATTGCAGAAATATCAAGAAATGGCAGAAAGAACTAAAGAGAAATTTGCTGCTGCTGAAAAAAAAACAGGAGCAATTACACCTTGAAAATTCTCATTTTAAAAACATGTTGACACAGGCTCAAAAAGAACATGCATCTCTGCTGGCAGCTTGTGCGCTGTTGTCTGGTGCTTTGTATCCCCTGTACAGCCGATCATGTGCCTTGTCCACACAAAGGGATTTCCTTCAGGATCAGGTCAACACCTGTGACATTTTCAAGCAGGAGATCCGGACTCTGGCCAATGCTTTGTCTGAGGAAAAGAAGCAAAGTGATGGCAAGGTAAAGAAGAAAAAGCCTTACAGAGGCTTGATACGTCTCTTCCGCAAAGGTGTCATCGCAGTGCTGGCAGCCAATAGGTTTCAAATGCTGGGCCAGTCATGCAGCTCACTTTTCTCCTGGGTGGACAGCTTCAGAGAAGGCATAGGAATCTTAGTCTGCATAGGAGATTCCAAGGATGTACATAACCTGTCAAGTAAGATAATCAGCTAATGATTTATATGTTTTGTGTCAAACTGCACTTTCAGTACTTAAATAACAATTATATTATGCCAAGACAATGGGGGGCATAGGCTTCACAATTTGAGGGGGGCAATTATGTTTAAGATGTTAACCAAATTTAGTGTATTAATTAAAACAGCTAGAGCCCCCAGTGGTGGTGTTAAACTCAAAATTTGAATCAGTAGTAAACAATCTGAATATACTCTGGCCTAGTGTAGATTTAATCATGCTTAGGAAGCAAGAAGTGTGCTATGCACTCTCTGGGTCCTCCCATTCCATGTGGGAGTCCATCCACCTTTCCATGGTTCTTGTGTTTGCACCAGCAGTAATTGTGGTTAATGCAGACTGCTGTCTCTCAAGTCCAGGGTTTGCAAACCCCAAACTGTGAGAACTGTCATGATTTGCATTAACTGTGGCTAATGCCAATGCCAGGTATAATGCAAGATCAAAATAAATCAAACGGATTAAAGCAAGAGTTGGGAAAGTGCAAGTGTGTGATGTGCTACAAATCTATTTATCACGATGAGGAAAACTCAGATGCTGTGTCTGTTTCTGTGTTGCCTCATGTAGTTTCACACCAACTGAATTTTTGGTCATTCACTCTCACTTTATCTGAACCATTGAAGATGTTGTGATTCAGAAACACCCCATTTTGATAAGACACATAAGGTAGTCAGGTGTGACAGCATCTTTCCTGCCTCTGTATATTTAATATTTATCCTTGCAACAGAACTAATTGATTGCAGTGGGTAGCTTGAACATAAACAAATAGTGCCACATGTTGTCGAAGATCAAATTGCTTTGATGAATAGAGTGTCCTGGCTACCACATTTTAATGGCAATTCTTGCTAACTGGAATGGACATGGCTATCCCACATTGATTATTTCAGCTGAAGCTTTACCTGGTTCACAAAGGCTTATACCTCCCCTGGGCGGTACCTGTTGACCATCATCTTAACTGATGATGCCATATCAGCCCATCATCTCTCTTTCAGGTATAGTAGGATTAGGGAGCTTTTGCATTTTCAGAATTGAGGCTGTTGTATGAAATAACTTTATTGATTTATTAAAGGACAATACAAAAGCAAGAATTTGTTTTTTAGAAAAACAGAATTGCATTGCTTAACTCAGTAAAAAGTATACGCCATCCCCAGTGAAGTAACTTAACTCTGGGTTGGCAAAATAGCTGAATCAATAGACTATGGTTTGCGATTGAAAACTGGATCAGAATTGGAGATCACCATTCAAACCGAGTAGTGTCTAAATTGATAATTGAACATTTTTGTAACCTTGGATATTATTTGCCTACTATTGAGACATTCATAATAAACTGTTGTCTCATTGAAGGGATAGAATATCAAAGGAGGTAAGCAATTCTAGAACATTTAGAAGCTCAAACCATGATTTGGGTTCTAAACTAGGTTAGTGCAAACCATGGTTTCAGATGGCTGAATTGAACTAATTTGGGATTAATAAATTGAGCTTTGCAGATTTATACGGGGTGGTACAGGGCTCAGAAATATGAACTGTGAACTTAGAGTTCCATGCTTCAAATCTTACCTCCATCATGAACTCACTAAATGGCTCTAGGCTGGCCAGTGTACTCTCAACTTCCGCTCCACCCACATTGCTAATGATGATGATAACTAAACTAAATAGGAATGTGGAGTGGGACTGTGGGTGTGTCTAAGCTTTTTCTTGATGCCTTTTCTCTGAAATCGTTCCCCCAAATGATAGGTTCTGGGTTGGGGTAAGAAAACTAGTTTCATCAGGAAAATGGTTCAGAAAAAAAGATTTTAAAAGCTTTTCCTTGGATCCTCAACTGTTCCTCCCTTGTGATGGTTATTCACTTTCAAGTCTGTGGCATCTTAGTTTCATTTAGATTGTGCTTTAAATGCTGGACATACAGTATGAAAATGTGAAGAACTGTTTAGGTTGGATAATTTCCAGGTTGTTTGTGATCTGTGTAGCTTTTTGTGGAAGCCATAACAATTTGTAAGAATTCTGAGGATACTGCTTTTAAAATTTTTTAAAGTAAAGGAAATTTGGGTGTCCTTTTGATATCAAAGCTTGAAATTTAATTCAAACCTTGGATGTACGATAAAACTTAATTTGTTGCTAGTGCTAACCTGGACGCCTACCCTTGCACTTTGAACTTACCTTTGTTCTGAGAACAAACAAAGCACATTAACTCACTTTGGAATGATAAGCTGTGGCCAGTAGTCTCCAAATCTGAGTGACCATTTTAGCAATGCTTTTTGAGAAATGCTTTAAATTTAATTCTGTGGAGTGGCATTGGAGTATTGTATTTTTTTAATGCAGGACAACAGAAAGAACAGATCCGTTCTCTTCAAGCACTTAACTGGTTTACCAGTCATACCCTTCTTGCTGCTGTACTTAGTTCTATGGCTGACCTACAGGAAGTGGTTAGCAAAACAGGTAATGTTCCTTTTTGATTTTGTCTTTGGTGTGATGCATCTTCAAACAGTAACTCTAAGCAAGCTGTTGATAGCACAGACTGCTGTGTGATAAACTGTAAAGTCATCAGTTTGATGACCTGTCCACAGCATTGCTTTGTCTGAAGCTACGAAAGTTCTGGGAACCCACACACCTCCTTACTCTATGTCTTACTGGGTATCTTGAGGTTCCAAGGCAGTGCAAGTGAGCTGAAAGCACCTTTAGCAAGTATAATCAATAGGGGAGAAGGATCATGTCAATCTTGCAGATTTTTATTTGTCAGGTCCAGGATTAAGTTTCAGTTTCAGCCACCACACCTTAAACTAATCCATTAAATTAGGACATAAAATTAGATGGTCCACAAAATACTGGCCTGACTTTCTTGAAAGATTAACTTCCTGTCAGTGTTCAGCTTTCAAATGCCCTTAAGGTGAGATAGAAGGACTGAAGGACAGAGGACCACAACTGAAGGTGTAATTTATCTTAGAAAAAGGTGAAGAAAATAGCTGTCCATGAAAGTTCTTGCATAGTTCTGTGCAGCCACTGAAAGAAGAGTAGCAACCATCAGGAGATGCTGTGATGGGACATCCTCACTAGTTATACGCACTGTGTTTATATATTGTGACCTGTGGTGCTGTTGGACAGTGTAAAACAGTAGGCAGGCCTTGTGGCTGACACAGCATTGCTACATGTGAACGCCCCTGTCTGTTTGTATCTTTAAACCATGCTTCATGAATGATTCAGGAAGCAAGTATACCAGTGCTGGGATATAAGAAGGAAAGCACATGAAGAGGGTGTGGTGTTGGGAAAGGGAAGTTGACAATGCCTAAGGCACTGATCATGATCCCCAGCCAGGGGTCAGTGGGTATCACAGTTACAGCTTTACTGCAACTCTGCATGAAATGTGCACCAAAAAGCATCATAGTTGACCAATTATAGGAGCTAGTACTCACACCTCCTACATACTAGCTGGGCACTGAGCAACTCATCTGTTTTGGGTCTGCCAAGGTCACATGGTGAAGTAGGAGCAGGGCCTCTTAGAAGCCACTGAAGAAACGCAGGCTGTGCTCATTCAGCAGAGTTCTTCCTGACTGGCTGGCCCATTCTGACCGGTTGGCCCATTCTGTCATTCAGCTAGTATTTTCAGTGTTTAACAGGTGGCTGGTCATAGTGTTATAGTCTCAGATATGTGAATGATCACATCTTGGCATGCTTGTGCAAGATGGAAAGTGTTAATATGGTTTGTCCCAGCATTTCGAGTGTGCTTTGGTTGGGAAGTTCCCTTTGTTAGTTAATGGTACTGTACCATATTTTACAGATGTTCTCACTTCCTCCATTAAATGAAGGAAAGTATTAGAATAGGAACAAAATTCAAGTCCAGCTTCTTGCAAGGGATTCCAATTGAGATACTTCCCTAGTTCAGCTTTCACAAGAAAAACCCTTACTGGAGTGCTATTAAGGAAGATGTATACCTGCTTATGATTTCAAGCCATGCCTTTGGCATACCTTGAGGGAGCATTTTCTAAAGTCCCGGTGACCAGGGGCAGGTGGAAGATTTAATCCTGGTTGTTTCACGTTGTCCCTTTTACGACACGATAAAGGAGAAGAATGTTGGGTCATATGATTGACTATTTCTTGGGTTCAGAAGTGGAATGTATTACATTTTTGCTGAAAAATGTATTTCCTCGTGTTATTAAGTGGGCATTTTACTGTTATCTTTCAAAATTAGAAAGTACCTTTTATCCATTAATTCTGATAGACATTGTATTTTAGGCTCCTTTCAGTATTTTGTCTATCCATTGGGGGTGTGGCCATATTTGATATTATGCTCTCCAGTGTGTATGTTTGGATCTTGTTCTTTGTTATAACCTGTGGTTGCAGCAATAAAATTTGCTACTGCTACAGTTACTTCTGCAACCTGGTGTTAACTCTGAAATTATTTCAATTAATGCTATTGTTTTATGCTATTGGAGCATCAGCTATAAATTGCAGAAGCTGATGTGACACCCCTACAAACACACACCCAAGGAAGTCATGGAAAAATCATTAGCATCTGAAGTGAAAATATGCATGATTTGAAGAACACTACAACTGGCTTCATGTACTGAAGGGGACATTGGAGTTGTTGTTGTTTAAGGGCATCCAAATAGCTTTGACAACAGCTACCGAAGCTGAGAGTAGTTTCAAACCAGTTTGATATGGTATTGAGGCCTGCTATTCAAAGAACATAAAAAATCCCCTTGGGTGCTTATAGTCCCTTGGGTGTATCTAAACCTATCCTTATGCAAGGGAATTAAAAAAAAAATGTAATAGTGTTTCTCAAAGGAAGCTAGTATTAAATTTCTTTTAACAGACAGACCATGTGGTTACTTGTAACTTAAGCAGAATTTCTAAAGCCCACAGTGGATTTTTCGACACATGAGCATTAGTAAGGCTTTCAGTCCTTCCTCCTTATTCTGTTTTGTTAAAAACAAAGCAAACACAGAGGATCCCACCTTTGTCACTAGAGCAACATTTGTCACTTTTCATTGATTTTTGCTTCATTTGTTGAATAAAGACTTTGTTGTTCTTTGTACTATAACTGTATTTGTGTAAGGCATTTCTCACACATGCATCACAACATAAATTATTTAGTGCTTTTACTGTAATTCCTTGATAGTCTGTGGCCAGGTACTTAAAGTGTATATATTCTTTTCCCACTGGTTATATATACAGCAGAATACAGTACCTTGTGGAATTGCATTGTAGTCTCATTTCACCTCTCAAAGCCGAATGATTCTAACACACATTTTCTTTGTTTTGGTCAAAAACAGTATTCATTAAAAATTAACCAGAGGTGATGGTTTGCTTTTAGAAAGTGAATGCTTTCCCATCCTAGAAATGTCACCTACCCATACTTCCACCCACAATTTCTCTGGTAAAACTTAAAAATAAGACTGGGACGATATTAGACTGAAAGTTGTATGTTTATGCAAAGCTCAGATTTATGTGTTTAAATTGGACAATGTATGACAATGTAGTCTTTTTAATATTCTAATATGAATGGCACCTGATCAATCTGTTAGTCTTGCCAATCAAGTTGGGTGAAAATAAAACTAAAAATGTCACCCCGCCCAAACCTCTGATTATGTATAATGACTCAGATGGTAAGAATCCCAAAGTATTTCTCTTTTTCAATGGTCTTTTATTTTGTACTGCTCAAACAGCCTTCCCTTGCCCCAGAGCCAGCCATCTTTGAAATGGAGAGGATTCTCAAAAGTGAATTAGTGATATGGCATGTGGGATCTGTTATTCAAACAGGGAATACATTTTTTTTTAAAAAAAGAAAAGCCATTCGGTGTACCTAGAATAGTTTTTTAATCACTGACAAGGTAACATGAAATCTGAATGGCCTATTGGGCATATGCAAAAGTTAAAAAAACCTTTAACTTTGGGTCTTTACTGTTTTGCAGAAAAGATAATGGTTTTATTTGTATCAAGTTTCATTTTGTTTAGATGGTTCTTTGGTTGCAGATGGAAAGAATTTTCTGTGAACTAGTATATTCCTTTTCTGTTTTGTTAGAAAGCCCTTGTTTTTATTCATAGCAATAAGGAAGAAAGATGGCTTTGCTTTAAAATTTTGACTTGGTAGACTTTCTGCTTTAAACTTCAGAAGAAATATTTTAATTCTCTGCTACAGCAACAGGAGATCTTCTATCCTCCTGAATGTAAATAAGCTCCGCCATGCTTGTCATCTTATTCTGATAGTATCTCAAGACAAGTAATGACAGATTAAGACCTGACTTGCAGAGGGGAAACTAAATTACAAGACTTTTATTAAGGCATAAATAAACCTATTAACTGTTATCTGGAATACCAATTAGTAGAAGGAGCACTGACAATTTTATTTATCAACATTAAACACAATTATTAATTACAGACCTGACGAATCTAGCAGTAAGCAGGACATGTTGGGTGTGCTGGGGCCTTAAGCCCATTATATGAGAAGGATGATTACCAAAATCCTATGGGGAAATAAGTAATTGTAGTTGTAAAATTTTAATTGCCTTGGAATAAGGTAAATTATATTCTCTTGTCTCAGAATATAAATAGTATGGCATTAAGGTACCAAGCCTCAGTAGTTTTAAGCAGCAAATGATTTAGACATCTAAGCTGTCAGGAAAGAAAGGGAAACAGTTATAAATTTGCAACTGTGACTTACCTTCTGCTTTTGAAAGAGGAACACATTCACTGATATTTATAAGCAGTTTTAGTCTACTTACACAACAGGTCTTGGGTGTCATATATTGCAGCCTTTGGATTAATGAAAGGAAAATGATGCAGTATAAGAAGAGAACATAAAACCAATTCTCATTAGCAAAACCATGATTTCTCCTGAGCCAACGTCTGCTGTGCATATGTGCGCATAATTTCAGTGACAGTTAAATAAAATTAATTATTTGTATATGTGAAGGTGGAATGAGACCCAGATTATTTTTCTGCCACCAGAATTGTCCTGCTATAGATTAATGATTCCAGAGGTAAATGGCTTCAGGATTTGATGGCTCAAATCTATTCACATAACTCCCCCAAAAAGCTTTACCTAAAAGTTGCGTTAAGCCTGTGCTCAGAACACAAATAATTCCACTGAAAATATTTTGCAGTTAGTACATTATCCTGATTATAGACTTAAGAATGCAATCCTATCCACATTTAGACAGGCAAAAGGCCCTACAACTCCCAGGATTCCTCAGCCAGCATGTCTAAACGCCTTTCTGTCTAAACATGCATAGGACTGTACCCTAAATCACTGCATTTGTGGAATTGGCTTCCTTATATGTGGCATTTTCTGTACAATGAAGGGTTTTTTTTTATGGTGGTGACAGAGAGAGATCTATTTTGGGGATTGCATTAAACAGTCACACACTAAGCACGTTTCCTCAGAAGTAAGGGCTTGGAATTTGAAAGGGCTTATTCAGGCTCTGGTAAACTTGCTTGGGATTTACACCTCAGCTTATTTTCAAATATGTGTGGGGTTGGTGTATGACTGCTTGTCAAAATGCCAGAAAGTTTGTGTTCCATTATTTCTGTATCAAATATGTCCAATATGGACTAAAAGAGAAACAAGCCTTAACCAGCTTGATTTATGGATTTCTCCTTTTCTTTTAAAGATATGAATTCCTGGCTTTCAGGACATTTGCTTACTACAGCAGCAAGAAATTCTTTTTCAAAACTCATGGAGAAACTTTGTGTCGTGATGGAAGTTGCTACAACGGACAGCAGCAGGAGTATTGCTTTCATAGAGAAAGACTTGTTGGTTCAAAAACTGGCTCGTGGGCTTCATAAAATAAATGCACAGGCTCTTAAAGCAGGCGTAAATGAGAGAGCCCCTGCTACGGTTTGTATGAAAACGATTAGCATACAGCAGCAGTTCTGCCTACTGAATTTGTTTTCAGATTGTTACAGATCTTTTCATTTTTCTTTAACTTATGTAGTACTCAACAGATTATTCAGTCTTTGAAATAAAACTGGAGAATTGCAAGAAAAAGATAATATTATTCAAACCACACCTAACTTTAATATGACTTGTGGTATCTTTTTTGTTTTATTTTTGTTAGCTTTCTTTCTATTCATTTAGCATTCAAGACAACGTGCAATCTTCTTTTAAATAGTGCGGTAACATTTTAAGAGAGTTGATTTTATTTTTTAAAGTACTATGGTTATTACCCAGTGTGTACTTGGAATGTGTGTTGTTACAAAGTACATATTTTCCATTTACCAGAAATACGGTAAATGTTTCCTCCTTACACTCTTTTCCTGGTTTTGACTTTCAGACTATATTCCCCGTGTATAGACATTGTTTTAGTAATATAGTAGAATAGATTTTGTAACACTTCAGTTTTGTATGCGAATTCAGAAAGGAAGCTTCATTTTCATCTGCCCAGACATCAAAAAAAGATTTATTGCCCAATCACATTTTAGTAGTTGACAATATTGTTTCCGCTTGTGCTACCAGAAGAACATCGCATTCTTGCAGAAGCAAATATTTGAATTTACACAAAGGCTGCATGCAGCAGAAGTGGAACGGCGGTCACTGCGCTTAGAGCTCACGGAACTCAAACGGAATTTGAATGAGATGAAGAAAGAGGCTGACAAAGCCCAGACCCTGCAAGAGCAATTAAATACGTTTAAGCAATCAGTAAGTATATTTGATTTAGCAGGGGGAGAAAATAACCTGATCTAAAGGAAAGATTTTCTTTTTGCTCCATTTTCTATTTCTTAGAAAGCTAAATAACAAGAACAGAACATTTTTTATATTCTTTATACGCACTTGTACTAAGCAACCCCACACACCGAAACCACCACCACAACAACCACCACCACTAAACAAAAAACCCCAACAGCCATGTGTCATATACATATCCTGTCTGTGATTCAGGTATTAAAAGGGAAGGAACAAGCGGCAGTTTCGGTATAATGAGTCATTTTATGTCGAAGGGTAAGATACATTAAATAAATAACATTTGAACTTCAGCAAAGCTATTCTCCCCCCTCCCCCATTTATCTTAAATGTTTTATGTCAATGGAGAACTGGAGTTTGAAAACACTTGTGTGCTAACATCAATTAGGCATACATTTTATGTACACATTTAATGTTTATCATCAGCCTTATCCTTGCCAGCTCTTGACCTCTTCTCAAGCTACATAAGGTTTGCTTCACAGATGGTAAAATACATATAAGATACTTCCATGTTAGATTTAAAATGCAAGTCACCATATGTGCCAGTATAATAGATGGTGGTTTTGTGACTTAGGGGACCACCACTGCTATGTCCATGGTATAGCGCATACAGCAGAAACTGTGGCCCTTAGTATATATTTCCTAAATCTATATGCAGTGAAAAATTTACATGTGCAGTTGTCTCATGTAACAATGTAGGCTCAAAGTACTTCCCACACTGGCATTCAATAACAAAAGTAAAAGCCTTCTGGGAGGGACCTGGTGAACTTGCCACTGCCTCCGAGGGTCCATGGGGTTGCTGGAAGTGTAGCATTCTTTCAGTTCTTCAAGTCAGCAACTTTTAAAATGATGATAAATCTTCTTCTCAGTTGTATGGCCACCTTCATCAGGAGTAACTTGAAAGAGAACCTTCCTTTATACAGTTATTTATGTTCTTTTTAAAAAGAAAAAAAAATCTGGTGAATAAAAATCACCTGGCATTAGCATTGTATAATAGCTTGACTTGGAAAAGAGAGAGCCTCTAGGGCAACTATATTGAGTGTTTTAAAACTTTTGCATTAGAATGTTGCATATTGGCAAGTGGAATACTGAAAGTCAAGTGTACAAACAATGCTGCTATTTCATGACAGCACACAATTTATTTCCTTTATCAGAAATTGATCACCCACGAGAGGTTTGAAAGTGCATGCGAAGAGCTAAATAATGCATTACTTCGGGAGCAGCAGGCACAAATGCTTTTGAACGAACAGGCGCAGCAGCTACAAGAGTTGCAGTACAAACTGGAATTGCATTCCTGTGAAGAAGCAGAAAAAAACCAAACCCTAAGTGAAGCTGTAAAGGTAGGGCAGTATTTATTAAAAATAAAAATACTAGACTCACCTCACTGTGAAAGTTCAATTTTGCAATCTTCAGAAAGTGCACCTTTTCCACGTAGCACATTAAGGTGATTCATATGAACAGGGTCACTAACTGAGAAAGCATCTTGAAGCCATCTTAGTGGAGAGATCTTTTTGGCACTCACTGGTATGCTGTCAGATGAATAGCAGTATTTTTTCTCTCATAAAATCGAGGAATTTATGGCAGTAGGAGAAACAGATAACGGTTTGGGTTTGTTGGCACAGCAAAGGAAGAGAGGCCTTGTATACCCCCATAACTCAGCTTATGAATTTCAAGTTTGGTGTAGCACTCGTTAGCATTGCTGTATATAATCTGGGGAGAACGGAGCAGGGAGAATTTCTTCATAACAAGGGAGGAGAGGAGGTATGTATTCCCTTGGCCAGATCCTGTTTCCTAAACTGCAGTTAATTTTTTAAACTGAAAAGGAAGATAAAGGCTTTCTGTCTGCATTGCAACAAGCATGTGACCCAGCCATGCTTTCATTGTTGCAGCAGTGACAACCCTCTCCTATACAGTCTTTCTCTCTTGCCAAGAGGAAGAAGAAGAAAGCCTGAGTGTGGCCATGTGCTTGAAGCATCACCAATAGCATCTCTTTTGTAGCATGGAGGTCGGACTGCAGCAGGGATGTGAGACAAAACTTTTGACTGCCTTCCTCCATGGCAGAGTTTCTTAGAAGCACAGTTAGTGGCTGTGTTGTTGGCAAACTAATCTCCCCATGCAGGTTATGCTACAAGGTGGAAAGCCACTTGGTTCCAACTACTTTTTTCCAGTCTTGACAGTAGGCTTTAGAAGAGTGTTAGTGTCATGTTAGAAGAGTGTCATGAGCTCATGTAAGTTGCAGAAGATTGTATCACACATTTTTTCTGAATGGTTTCCCATAACCCTGTTGGATATCAAGCAATTAGAGAAGTGATTATTTGAGAGGTGTGTCTTAGTACACAGGATCTGTGTATGGCGTTGTAATATCAAGAATTTTTATAAGAAGAAAAGATAGAAATAAATAATAAGATTTTCAGCCATTAAAAAAAAAACACCAGAATGTTTAAGAATATACAAATGAGAAAGACCTCATATTTGAAACATAATTGTAATGAATGTTATAAATGTAAAAACATAGATTCATATAACTGTGTGTATAAAATAATAAAAATTGTCCACTTTGATAATTCCTCAACTAACTTTTGCCATACTATATTAAGGGATTTGCAACAATTTTAAAGAACCTTTAAAATTAATTTATAATTAAAACGAAATGTTAATGCACACATCAAAGAATACAGTTGACATTTGCAAATAGTAGTTGTGTATGGACACCATGTAAGCTATATTAGTAATTAGACAATATTGCAACAGTCTGTTATTTTCATCAAATAGGTTTAAACCACTGTTGATTAGTTTTGCAGCTTTATCGGTTTTGATTATAATCCCATATATATTTTTATCTACCTAATGGCATATACCGTAGAGACATGGATGCTTGCCAATTATGTTTCAAGGTCAGTCAGAGCTAAGCACTGTTCTTATACTATTTCTTTTATTAGGTGAGAAAAGATAGTAGCCCAAACCTCTTCTCTTGAGAAAAAAAAATACAGCAACAGTATTTATACTATTTTTATTATAGAAAACAGTGATTTCAAGCAATAAAATTGAGTTTTCGTCCCCAACTATTAAAACAGCTAGTTCTTCCTAGAGAACATTGCCCTTTATATGTAATAAAATGTGTATAAATTATTATTATTATTATTATTAGTATTATTAGAACATTTCTATGCCGCCCCTTGCCGAAGCCTCGGGGTGGCTTACAAACACAATAAAATACAATAAAATACAAAAATAACAATATAAAATTAAAATTAACAATATAAAATAAATAAAAATATAAAATATAAAAGAAGTTGCCCTGGCCAGATAAATAAGCAGATATTGTTAACAATTAAATTATTATTGTTAACAATATTAAATTAACAATATTATTTACAAGGCAGAATTTTGGTCAAGTTTATTCATTTGAACATATTCATTGTCTTATTCATGTGGACACTCAAAACCTATCATCATTTCATATCAAACACCGAGCAGCCAAACTCACATAGAGAAAACAGAACAAATAATGTTTATGAAGGACCAGTCCATTACTGTCCCAGCCAAAAGCATGAATCTTGACTTGAGGATTAGGTAGACAGAGAACCAGCTGACTGGAACAATATACTGATGTTAGTTTCAATGAGGTGTATGTTCCACTGAGCTACTGTGCTGTATTTAGCTCTGCCGGATGGACTGGGTCCTTATTTTCTTAAAATGAGAGAAAAAAGACAAATTGACTTTTCCATTTGTGAATGATTGGAAGAATCTCATTTACAAATAAAACTGAATCAGTCTTTCTGGATGGCTAGTATAAAATTAAATATTGGTGATTTGCAGAAAATGTGGTGCATAGCTGATACAATAGAGGGACAGAATAACTTACTTGAAATTAATAATCACAAATAAAACAATAACATACAAGCTACATCTGACATGTTAGACAATAGTCTATGGTGTGAGTCAATGAAAACCAGGGTTTAGGAGTAGATGTAGGAGGTGCTCTGCCCTTTCTTATGTGAATTCTACTTAATCAATTATATAGGGGTTTAAGGGATACACTCAGTTTTGTTTTAACTTAGTTACAGTGCCATACATCATGGACCACTGAGTAGAAGGAATATGAGATAATTATGTTCAAGAAAGTTTTGAGTATTGAGCAGTTTAGCAATATAAGAGAAAGACAGGAGACATGGTTTAGGTGAAAGACAGTGCATGATCCAGTCTTGACTCCTAAAGCATTGTTTCATCTGTCACATACAGGTTACAACTTGGTGTGTCATTAAACATCCCATAAAGTGAAAATCCTAAGGAATTAATTTTATTTGGGAGGATTGTGTGAAAGTGGTTTTAGTTGTTTAAACAGCTATAGCAGTGTTTATAATATATCCTAATACAATATAAGAATTAATTTTGCAGACCTCCCCACCCCATACCACCTGTACATGCATGCATACTTCTTAAGATATTGTAAGCAAATGGAGGCACAGTCTGAAGAAGGTTAAAGTAGAATTCATGAGTCAGTCCTGTAATTGGATGGGAGGCAGTTCAGAGCTTCCATCTCTGGTACACTTCGTATCTCATATTTATTTCCTGCTTGGAACCCAGTTTGTGGCATCCAGGAGTACTTTACTATCAACTTCAACTAGCTGCAGCCTTTTCTGTGAAATTCCTATTTGCTGATCATCACTCATATCTTTCCAGTTTGGAAGCGTAGACATCTGTAAGAATCTCTTCATAGGTCTGCCATGTGAAAGCTGAGCTGATGTGGAAAACTCTACACCAGTGATGGCGAACCTTTTAGAGACTGAGTGCCCAAACTGCAAGTCAGAACCCACTTACTTATCGCAAAGTGCCAACACTGCAATAAAACCTGAATACTGAGGTTTTGGTTTAGAAAAAACAACACATACATTGACATCTTTTGTCTTAAAAGAAAAACACAATAACAGAGCTTTCAATGATACAAACAGCTTTTCATTAAAATGCTTTTGCACAATTAATGTGATATTTGCTATTGTATGCATGCTGATAATTTGTCAAACCTTGGCTCATACTTGATTAGTTTGAGAGCAACACATGCAGCACTGTTTCTTGTATCAGATTTGATATAATTCAAAGATGAAAACAGCTGCTTGCAAGCATAAGATGATCCAAACAAAGTAATACCTGGCAGCTCACTGACCGGCCATGTGAAAGCTCGGTGAGTTGTGGCTAATGAGTGACATCATTGCCTGGTGCCCTTAATCTTTCCGAATATGTGCATGGCTGCTGGGGTGACCATGTGCCAGCAGAGAGGGCTCTGTGTGCCCCTTCGGGTATGCGTGCCATAAGTTCGCCATCACTGCTCTACTCTGTTCTGATAGGGGAGGACTATTAGGATTATAAAATATGAATGCTTTGGTGTCAGCATGAAATGTCCCTCTTGTTCTTTTGGGCTGAAGTCAAGATTTTATTCATCCATTATCCATAAAGTTGTAGATGTTTTGTGCCCAGCATAAACTGCCTTCAGCTGTGTGCCCAGTCACAAACTACAAGATCAATGGAAAATGCCCACTTAAGTCTCCTGTTGGTGCATCCAATTAGGGACACAATATATCCTGTGCAGTTCTTGGGGATTGGCCTGTAACTGAAATGGTGTTATGCTAAAGTCAGAGGTCTCCATTGCAGGGCCCGTGGACACCATGGGACCCGCAGAGACTTCTAATAGCATGAGTAAGGTTCTCCACACCCCTCCTCCTCCTTAATTATTTTTATTAAAAAAGATGAACAAGATGGTTCTGTTTCCTGTTCCAAAACATGCTGCTGTTTAGCTGTTCAGTGGTCTGGAAGGCAAGGGAAAAATTCCTGGTCCACTCAGTTTTCTTCTGTCTCTGCAGACCTTTCCTCTTTGTGCTCTCCCTCCCTCTCTCCCACCCTCCCTCTCATATTTGATCTCTCCCCTCCCGGCCTCTAGCTTTACTACTCTCTTTCACAACCCTAGCCTTATTTTTTCTTTTCCTTTCTAGCTTTGCTTTTTCACTCTTGTTTCACCTTTACCTTGCTGTTTCTCTGTCTCCTCCTCTCAGTTTTTCTCTCCCCTCTACCTTTTTGCATTGCTATTTTCCTTTCCCTCCATTCCCTTCCAGCCTTTAGGCTTGCTATTTCTCTCTCACATTACTACAGACTTCTTTTGATTAGGAAGGCCCTCACAGCAGCCTTCTATGACTAGCCACATCTTCCATAGGAGTAATTTTGTGGTGGAATCCACAGGTCTACAAAGATTAGGAATTCCTGCCTTTGAAACCATCTGAAACCTGAGCTTTTCCATAACTCAACGTATCATGTTTCACATTGGAGTAGTTTTTTTAAGTGACAAGGA